GACTGCTACATCACATCCATCCACTTCTTCATCACATGATGAAACTCCATCACTTCCATTATCACCATCATCATCACTACCACCACCACTACCACTATCACAAATAGTTCAGAATGTTCATTCCATGGTCACCCATAGGAAGGCTGACATCTTTAAGCCTAAAGTGTTGCTTGCTGAGACAAACCCTCAAGAGCCAGCTAATGTCTATGAAGCATTGCATCACCCTGACTGGTGCAAAGCAATTCATGATGAGTATACTACTCTGATGAAGAATGAAACTTGGAAGCTGAAGCCTTTGCCACCAACACACAAAGCAGTGGGTTGCAAGTGGATTTTTAAAGTGAAGAAGAAGCCTGATGGGTCAGTTGACAGGTTGAAGGCATGTCTGGTTGCCAAGGGCTATTCACAAATGGTAGGAAGAGATTTTTCGGAGACATTCAGTCCAGTTGTTCGAGCTAATACAATAAGGACTGTTCTGGTTGTTGTTGTTATGAAAAATTAGCCACTTAGACAAATTGACATTAACAATGTGTTCCTCAATGGAAAATTAACTGAGGAAATTTATATGAGACAATCTCCAGGATTTGAGCAGAAAAGTGAAGATGGAAATGAGTTAGTGTGTTGTTTAAGAAAGACACTTTATGGGCTTAGGCAAGCTCCTAGGGCTTGGTTTGAGACCCTGAGGAAGTTTTTGGTTGAAAGCCTTGGTTTCACTGTTTCAAAAGCTCATTCCTCTCTATTTATTATAAATTCAGCATGTTCTAAAGTGCTCTTAATGGTGTATGTTGATGATATAGTCATCACAAGAAGTCAGAAAGTAGAAGTGGATGCCATAGTGCAAGCAATCAATAAGGAGTTCTCACTCAAAGATTTGGGTCAGCTAGAGCTTTTTCTTGGAATACAAGTTGAGCATACTTCAGAAGGCTTGATCTTAAATCAGAAGAAGTATATTTATGATTTGTTAAAAAGGTCAAACCTAGATGAGTCAACACCTACACATGTTAAAAAGATCAAACCTAGATGAGTCAACACCTACACATACTCCTATGGTTCTTACTCCCAAGCTTAAACCAAATGATGGACAATTATTTGGAGATGCTCATCTCTACCATAGCATTGTGGGAGGCTTGCAATAAGTGTGTTTAATAAGACCCGACATAGCCTACGTAGTTAACAAGGTTAGTCAGTACATGAATAGCCCATATGATACACATTAGAAAGTAGTAAAGCTCATATTGAGGTATCTCAGTGGCACACTTGAGCATGGTCTTTTTTTCACTCAATCTGAAAATTTTAGTCTAGTCTGCTACACTGATGCAGACTGGGCAGCCTCAGTGGAAGATAGACGATTCACAACATGTTACTGTGTATATCTTGGGGGAAATCCAATTGTATGGTGCTCCAAGAAGCAAAGTGTTGTGTCTAGGTCTACATCAGAAGCGGAATATAGAAGCCTTGCTAATTCTGTCTCTAAAATTATTTGGATTGAATAACTACTTGATGAAATTGGGGTTAGTGTAGCTGGAAAGCCAGTTGAGTGGTGTGATAACACCTCTACAATTTCTATGGCAGTAAATCCAATATACCATGCCCGTATAAAGCATATAGAAATCGATGTTTAATTTGTGAGGGAGAAAGTTCTGGCTGAACAACTGAGTGTCAATTTTGTGCCTTCTGCAGAGCAGGTGGCTGATATACTCACCAAGTCGTTGCCACCTGCAATATTTAGTGACATGCGCTCTCTCCTTGGTGTGAAGTCCTAGACATAAATCAGTAATTGCAGTCATGAGAAGCAGATTTGAGCTGCCATGAAATAAGCAGTTTTGAGTTGCCAGGAAATAAGCAGTTTTGAGTTGCCAGAAAAATGTTGAAGTGGCATTTTATGTCATTAGAAAGCCCAGAGAATATTAGTGTATTATAATACAGCTGTCTGTAGCTGATTAATTGTAACTGTTTTTGGTTAATTTGTTATAACTGAATCTTGTATAGTTGGGTTAGTTAGTTGGGCTAGGTGTTATATATAGTGGGCATGTCCACTATTCATAACCAATGATAATGTTTTGCATTTTACAGAATATTGTATGTACTTTGTTTCTTTAGTTTACTTCAGAAAACAATATATTCTTCCTTCTGTTGATTCTCCCTTTCCCTTATAGTTTGCCTTTGATAGTTCACTATTATTCTTCTGTCACGAGGGCCTTTTCAACGCGGAGTTTTTTCATGCTAGCGTTTTTTGGGTTAGATGCTACGCTGAACAACCACATTTGTCATCTTTTACCATTCATGACCTTGAACCCATTCAGTGGTAGGGGCGGATATACATGGCTCCACAGGGGAGCCATTGCACACCCATTATTTTGAGAAAAGTGTTCAATTTAGTTTAGTTTACTAATGCGAATAGGAAAAATTAAGAAAATTTGCACACCCAAATTTTTTTAGAATCGAGTATTAAAATTTTGAACCCCTATTTTTTAATTTCTAGATCCGCCACTGTTCAGTGGTCTCTGCTTCACCTGGTTGGGTCACTCTTAGCACTGACGGTTCTGTTAATCGAAACTCCGCAATGAGCTATGCTGGTGGATTTATCCGAAGTTCTGACGGTGCTTGGCTAGTGGGGTTCAATAAATCCATTGGTTTCTCATTCGTTCTTCAAACTGAACTCGGGGGAATATTTAAGGGGTTAATTTGGCTTGGAATTATGGTTATGACAAAGTTGAGTGCCAACTGGACAATGCTGAGGCTTATAACCTTATCTCTTCTGCATATTCCTCGTCATCTCCTATGGTTCTTGTTTGCATGATAAACCACTACTCCTCTCGGAACTGGCTTTTAGATTTTAAACTGATTAAGAGTGAAGCAAACTTGGTTGCAGACAACGTTGCCAAGTCTGAAGTGGATTTCAATGGTTCCATTCGTCTTTTCCAGACCATACCTCATTCCTTGGAAAATTATCTCTACCGTGATTACTATGGACCACCTCATTTACAACAACAACAATAACAACAAAACCCTATTCCCATATGTAATGGAGTAAGGGGGAGGTAGGGTAGTAAACTGCCCCCAACGCCAGGGTTGAGAGCAGCTTCCGTGGAAGACCTCCGGCATTCAGCAAATTAAAGATAAAGATAAAATGCAGTGCATGTATAAATAAATAAATAAATAAATGCATAGTTGAACAATCTTCATATGCAATCCTCATATGCACGTCTGTAATGGTAAGTAATCCCTTTAAATAAATCCCTGCATTAAAATATTTGCATATAGACAGAAACGTAAGACCCGACTAAATTTAAAAAGAGGGAACCTGAAGAGAAGGATACACAATAGTCAACGGTAGCAAGCTACGAGAAGGAATAAAGTTTAATGGGTTAAAAACCTAAACTAAGGCAACACTACTTCGCTACCCGAGTTCTAAGCCTTCATAAATTCTAATGACATAAACGTATATAAAGTATTAGTCATGGAAATTATTACAAAGGCATTAAAAAGAAGACAAAGATGTTACACCCTATGTCTGTGACTCGCACTACTCGGCTACCTTTGTCTTAAGTCTTCATACTTTCCTATAAGAGGTCATGTCCTCGGTAATGGCTAAATCCTTCAAATCAGCTATCAAGCAGTCTTCCCACTTCTTCCTTGGTCTTCCTCTCCTTCTGGCACCGTCGACTGTAATGGACTCTACCCTCCTGACCGCATCCGACGGTTGTCGCCTAAGGACATGCCCAAACTATCGTAGTCTTCCCTCCCTTAATTTTTCGAATACAGGCACCACCCCTAAGGACATCTTAATAGCAGAGGTTGGTGTCATGTCCCACAGTGTTCTACCACATGCCCATCGTAGCATTCTCATTTCTGCGGCCTCCATCCTCCTTACGTGATCCTTCTTGATTGCCCAACATTCTGATCCATACAACAGTGATGGTCTTATAGCCATTCTATTAAATTTTCCCTTGAGTTTTAGAGGCACCCTCTTGTCACACAAAACTCCAGTGGCAGCCCTCCACTTTAGCCATCCCGCCTTTATATGATGTGTAACGTCATCATCTACACCCTCATCTTTATGTATCATAGACCCTAGGTACTTGAAACATTCTTTTGAGAGAATAACGTGTCCCTCTATGCATACTTCTACATCTTCATCATTTTTATTTTCACTGAAGTTTGAACATAAATACTCTGTCTTTTCAATATTAATCCTTAGACCTTTTACTTCCAAAGCAGTCTTCCAGGCAGCCGGTCTTCTATTCAGCTCAGTTTTTGTTTCGGCAACTAGGACAATGTCGTCAGCAAAAAGCATACACCATGGAACATCGTCTGGTGTCGCACAATATATGTCGTCCATAATCAAGGCGAAGATGTAAGGGCTAAGAGCTGACCCCTGGTGGAGTCAGATTTCCACCGGGAATGCCTCGGTGTCGCCAACTGTAGTCCTGACCTAAGTAGTTGATCTACAGTACATATCACGAATCGCCCTGATATAAGCAGTTGGGATCTGTCTCGTTTCCAAGATCTTCCAGATCGTATCACGAGGAACGCTATCATATGCATTCTCAAGGTCAATGAACGCCATATGAAGATCTCTATTTTTTCCCTATATTTCTCCATAAGCCATCGAAGTAGATGAATCGCATCCGTAGTAGACCTACCTGGCATAAAGCCAAATTGGTTTTTCGAAACCCTAGTAACTTGTCTCAACCTAACCTCTATCACCCTTTATTCTTATAGATTGGTATCACCGTAGACTCTCTCCACTCCTCTGGCATCGTGGCAGTCTCTAAAATAATATTAAAGATGTTGATCAACCAAATTACTCTCTTCTCCTAGGGCCATCCATACAGTGATTCAAATTTAATAATTCCATACTGTAAAAGTCTTTGCCTCTTATTATTAAAAAAAAGAGCACTATATGAGGATGCCTTATTTTACTAATTAATTATTCCACCTGCATTATTCGACTAACCTTCCTATGTTCATCCCTAAGTATATATATTATATATTCATTCCCTTGCAAGGGTCATTTACCTGTTTTCCTTTGATTCCTTTGCCTTCATATTGCAAGACACTTGTTTATGAGCTGATTTCAGTTTGAAAAGAAAACGTTCACTTATGGTTGATTGAGATGGTAAAAATCTTGGTAGTTTTACATCAAACATTTACTCGGATGCTTTTACATGCCTCGTGATCCAGGAAATCGGGATCCCGGCTTCATCAACCTATGTGCCGGCAAATTGATGGATATTAGGACCCATCGTTTACACTTTACAGCTATTGCAGGGCTCAACTTCTCTTCCTCCCATTAAAACTGCTGCATGAAACAAAGCTTGGAATGCAACAGTGCATGGACTTTATTGGATTCTCCTTTAATATAGTGTTATCTCCGTTAGTAGTCCTTTCACTACTGCAAAGAGAGTTAGCTCCAGACACATAAGGGGTTCCATTGGATATATACTGGTTGCTCGAGGTGTTTAGCTCGCTAGCATTGTCTCGGTTTTCTGTAACGCTCTCTTGAAACAGTTCACGGAGCTTCTTTCTGTTTCCTGTTGGAGATGTTTCGGAAACCGACAATGGTGATCCGTCTACAGTACCCTTGTTTACTCGAGGGGTCCCCACGGAGAAGCTATGATGAACAGGGGTGTTACCATGAGACGGAGTAAAATCTGCACACGAATGTACAACATTCGGATGAGAGAACAATCAGAAATGGAGGTAGCACAGTCATATTACAGCAGACAGTATGAAACACCAGAAATTTACAGATCTGCCAATGATATAAGCTTGCTAGACGAGTTGATTCGAACAGTTATAATCATCTTACCACCATTGACACTGAAAAAATCATCCTCACAATCCGATTCTAGATATGTCTGGGAATCAAAAAAGGTTTCCTCTTTACTACCTGCAGAATGAAAAATCGATTCAGCCTAAGGCATTTAGGTAGCTGGAAAAGGAGGAAATTAATGTATGAGCAGAGGACACATTGATACGCTTATATCATAGATTATATATACAAACTACATCAACACGACGTTGAACATTACTATTATACGACAATAGACCGAACATCTCGGGATAAAGAGCAAACACAACATAACTCGATGCAGATTTATCAGAGCTATTTACAGAATTTATAAACCCGCAAAGGATTGACCTATCATTCAGAATCCTCAAAGAAGGAGCCTCTTCATTACCCCTGTTGGAATGAGTATGATATACCTAAGTGTACTGCATTGAGACATAATTCTACATGTAGTAAGGACCACAACATAATCCACAAGTTGTCTTGTTTGTGTTTTTTTTATCTCCATTAATGTCGAATTTCGACAGTTAAAAGACAACACACTCTTAAAACTGCTTGCAGCTTCCTAGTATTTAAGAGTGGTCCATCCATCATCATGGACCACCTCCACAAAGGTGCATAGTATCAAACATAGATCCATACAGGAAGAAGATTGCTACTTGCTGACTTGTCTATATATTCAAGGCTGAAGTTAGGTCCTCAACTTCAAATTCAACACTGACATACATGAAAAAGATTAGCTTCTTCTCATGTTCTACTAGTTTCGGCAATTAGCGACGTCGTTTTCGTGTAAACTAACGAATTCCGAATTCGCCTATAAATTCCGAAACAGCCAATGACTTTTCTTGCAAGACAACGGGGGGTTAAAATTGCATTTCCATTTAGTAGTAACCATCTGATCAACCAGTTCGGCAAATTGGTTTAGTTTGGATATGAACCTCCTTGCTGTAAAAAATCTCTTGTTGAAAATTGGTTTTCGGTGGTGCAAGTTGTTGCACCGGAAAAAAAATTGTCAAAATTGTTGAAAAACATAAATGGTAAAATTACCCTATATTATTTGTCCGTGGTTTTTACATTATATATAAGTTTTCCGCATAAAATTTGTGTATCTTCATTTTTTTTTTAATTATTAGTTGCGAGAAGATAGTTGTATTCCGCAACATCTCTCCCCTCTATGTATGTTGTCTGTGTTCTTATATAAACAACCCTAAAAATCAATACTTTGGAGCATCATCATTCATCAAACCAAAAACTAATTAATTTTCATTTCTATAAATAAGATACCCATTTCAGATCTCAGTCATAATAATAAAACATAACCCAAAACCAGAAACAGAGAAAAGATCAACAACCAAATAGAATAGATACTTTTACACTCTATTGAAGAAAAAGATGAACCAAATAGATTGTCTTTTACCCTCATAACCAAGCAAAGTACTTCCAACATGTTTATTTATGTCACCAAAAACAAAACGAAAAAAAGGAAGGAAATTTACCAAAATCTTTGAAAGAATAAGGAGATTTGAGAGCCAAGTGAGCATTGGCAGAAGGTTTCTCCTTAACAGGTGAAGGTGGAATGAGGAGGCTATCTGTTTTAGACTGAAAAGAAAGTCCAAGTTTCATGGGTGACTCTCCAGGGCTCTTACGAACTGAAACACACTCTCCAGGGCTCTTACGAACTGAAACACATGAACCCATCTCTATATCTTCTCTTTAGAGCTGCAACATCAGCTAATCTCAGAGCAATGAAAAAGGAAGAAACTTTCAACTTTTTTTTAAATAAAAAAAATTCTCAGCAATCCAAAAGGCAGAAGCAGAGGAAAATGGAAGGGAGATGGAGCAGAGAGCGTTTCTTTGGCGTTATGTTAAAGGAGTTGAAATGAAAAATAGTTACTTTGAGTTAGATATAGAGAAAGAGAGAGAAGGTTTGGCACTGAATTTGAAAGGGATGTTAGCACTGCCATTACCATTTAGCAAGCAGTGCATGAAAAAAAACTTTTGCAGTTTTATTTATTATTAATATTATATTAATAAAAAACTTTTTACAGTTTTATTATATTATGTTAACTATATACCTCAAAAAATAATAATACTTTTTTTATCACTAACAGTTTTATTTATTAAAATGTTACTTAGATTTTCGTCTTCTTTTAAATAGTGTCAAATGGCGTGTAGATCATTCATATTATTTAAAATATGTACTTTAATTAATATAATGTTAAAATTAATCTTCAACGTTTATTAAAATCGTCATTTTGATTTTAATATTTTGAGAGTATTTTGACGCATAACATTTTATATTGAGTAAAAAGTCCCTTTATGGTTAGAAATTATTAGTTAACACACTATTAACACTTCAAAGTGTCTTTTTACCTAAAATGAAATGTTGAGAGGCAAAATACTCTATAAAAAAATAACAAGGACTAAGTAACTATTCTTTTAGATATTAGCGGTATTTTTGCTCTAAAATGAAATGTTAGAAGTCAAAATATCCCAACAAGAAGAATAGTAACTAAATGGCATAATACCAAAAATAGCCCCAATGTTTATCAAAGTTGACATTTTGGCCCCTATTCTCTTTTTTTTGGAACATTTTAGCACCCAACGTTTCACTTTAGGGAAAAAAACTCCTTTTATAGATGAAAACTATTAGTTAACGCATGATTTTGAAAATCTTTTTTTTAAATAGTTAACACATTATTAACGCTCCAAAATAGGAGTTTTTTTTAATCTAAAATGAAACGTTGAGGGCTAATGCCTCAGAAAAAAGAATAAGAGATAAAATGATTATTTTATCAAATGTTAGAATCTTTTTCCCTAAACTGAAATGTTGGTGGCTAAAATGCTCCAAAATATAGAATAGGAGACAAAATTATCATTTTGATAAACAATGAGGGCTCATTTTTGCATTACACCTAGCTAAAATAACTATTTTAATCAATGTTGGGAGCTAATTTTGACATTATACCATATTTATTTTCATAATAATAATACATTAATCAATATTAAAATAAAGGAAAAAATATTTAAAAATTTTATTTTAAAAGAAAGTTTATGGTATGTATTGAAGATACGTGTTTATACGAATACGGATATAAAATTTATCAAACACGTCATGAAATGTTTTATTCGTAATTTTTTAAATTAATTAATATATTACAAATTATGGTAATATTACTATTAAAGGTAAAAAAATCATACGTAGATATTCAATGAACAATGTATGAACTTGGTGAACAAATTAAAAAAAATCCCTTTGAAAATACAGAGAATAATAAAGCAAGTACACTATTTATTATGAATTTATGATTAAATAATGGGAGACAAAAAAGAGGTTGGCAATGTGTGTTTGATGATCTTAATAAATGTAAAAAATATATATATATATTTTTTTGTTCTCTCTGTTTCTTGACTAATGTGAATCAAGCCACGTCGCACTTTTGGTTTTAATGGGTGAGTCTCTTAGCAGGAATTTTCTGCATACACAAAGACTCGAACTTGAGACATTGCTTAAGCAATATCGAACTGCTTATAACTTGAATCAACTCCTATTGATAAAAATATTATTATTTGTAGAAATTGATAAAAATAATACATTAAATAGGAAATAAATTCTAAAATGGTAATTAAATAATTCTTTGTCGATACCTACATGTACTAGTTAAACGAACCCTTATTGTCTTATTTTATTGGGTTTTTAGCTAATTAAACTCCAAGCTTTAGCATGAATCAAGTTATTTTAATATTGAAATTAATGATTGTTATTTTTTAAGGTCTTAGGTTCGACCACTAGAGTTAACAGGGTATTTTAGCGTTTATTGTCAAATAATTAAGAGATTTAAATCATATACTACCACTTGTAAATATCCTAGATTAACAATAAAAAAACTCCAAGCTTTGAACTTCAAATCTACCACACCATAGAATACGATACCTAAATTTATAATATAAGCAAAAATATGGATCGTTCAACTATTCAAATCATATGTTAAGCATTCTTCTCTTCTCAACTTTGCTTTTTATGTTGGGTAAATTTAGGGATGAAAATTTGATTCGAACATGATGAGTTTTCATCAGACCTGATCTTATAAAATTGGATTTTTTTTTGTGAAAATTTAGATTTGAGTCAATTTCTAGAAGGATAAAATCATGTCAGATTTGGATTTAGATTAAAAAATATTTGACCGATTCAGAAATAACAGTATAATTAACCTTTATATATTTAAATACAATTGCTATAATATCTTGATATATATAGTTTTTATATATATTTGTATCGAATTGGATTGGGTCGAATGTGAGTTTTTATTTAAAAAATCATGTCGATTGAGCTTCTCTAAACTCTGGTCAAGTGACGGGTGTAGAGATGTTATATTAGGGTTGGGTTCTGGTGGGCCAAAAACTCAGCTCGATCCATGATCATTCCTAGGTAAACCACCATATGTCACTTAACTATGCTCAAATGATTTGTGAGTTAATTGCATCATATGTCCTCAACGTATGACCCTTGTTTAACTTTGTCACTGAACGATGACATGCATTTTTAATTGGTCCCTAAACTTTTTAAACATTTCAATTTCATCCTAAATTATATGTATATAATAATCACATCTCTTGTTAATAAAATCATTAGGCCAAGTTATATTATTATATGATTCAAAAAAGTAAAATTTAGGTTAAACTATAATTGAAACTAATTACGTATCTGGATGAAATTGGAATATTCAAAAGTTTGGGGACCAATTTAGAAAGATTGTTATATTTTAGGGATGAAAATATAATATTCAAAAGTTTAAGGATTAATTTAGAACGAGATTCATAGTTTAGGGATGAAACTAGAATATTCAAAAGTTTAAGGAGCAATTTAAAATGATGATTATAGTTTGGAGACATATAATGTAATTAACTCATGATTTGTTTCAATACAACTTATCATTAAATTTCTTATTTTGTTGCGAAGTAGTCATTAAATTTTATCGAACTTTTTCAAATTATTATAATGTTGCACTGATCATTTGTAATAGGTTGATAAATTTAATGATTATTTTATAACTTTTAAAAATTTAGTAACCAAAATCATCATTTATATATAATTCAGTCACCTTCTATCTAAAGTAGGTTTAATTCTCTCTTCAGCAAAAGAAATACAACAAATGTAAATATTATCTCATACTATTTATATTTTAAAAATTACACAAAATTTATTCCACCTTAGCTCCATTTTGTAGGGGAAGGAATGCAAAAATTGTGTTGAGGGGTTAAAATTAAATCATTATTTTTTACAAGGGTTAAAATATAAGTTTATCATTATATTAAATTATTTATAAATTTAAATATCAAAATATTCTACATTACCAAATTTAAAGATAAAAAGTTAAAATAATAAAAAGGAAGTTAAATATATCTAAATACTTACCATGGAAAAGTGGAGGTGAACGTTTGATCGATTCGAGTTAAAAAATTTTGAGTTTGAGTTAACGAGTCATATTTTATAACTCAAAATTGACTCGAAATATTTTCGAGTATAGTCAAATTTTTGAGTTTCTGTTTAAATTTAATTGTAAATATTTATAATATTATGATATTATTTCTTCATTTTTTCATGTATAATATATATATATATATATATATATATATATATATATATATATATTATACATAGTCGATAGATTCAACTTAAACTTGAAAATCAATTCACAACTCGATATGAACTTTATTTTTTTTATTCAAGTCAAGTTTATGAAATTACAGCTTAAAACCAATTCAAACCGAATTTTTTTGAATCAAATTAAATTAAAAAAATTAAATTTTTGAGTTTTACTCACCCGTAAAAAAAGTAGAAAGTATAATTCCTATGAAATGTAAAATAAATATTAATTAAAAAGTAGAAATTTCCTGTGTGTCAGGTACAAGGTTGATTGACAATCAATTTTTTAGTGGGACATGTGTCACAACCTCTCTTTCATTTAATTGTGTTCGTATTACAATCATTCATTTTTATTTAAATTCAAAATTTTGATTACTTGTTTAATTGTGTTCGTATTAAAATTTAATTTAATTATAGATTTCATTCGATTCGAACTTAAAACATATTAAAACTTGAAATTAAATTTAGTAAAAATTAACTCGAATTTGAAGCAATCTGGAAGTTAATTTACTAGTTAAATAGCTTTTACAAATTATTTTCTTTTGGCTAATCAAACATAATAATAAAATTGAATAACTAAAAGTAATATATGAATTATTTTGATTTTGATTTTGAGAAGGATGGATTCATGATGGGTGGCCATAGGGTTGTTTGCTGGTCCATTTTCACAATAACAAAATCCCTTTCTTTTATCATATGATTAATGTTATTACTAGAAAACATGAGAATACAATAAGTTTTTTTTTTTTAGAAAATTTTTATTTCTAACCCTAACCTATTGTGTCAGTTTATAAGGGTACTTGTTCGATTACAAAATAAATTTATGTTACAAAAAATCTATTCAAACTATATTTTTTAATTTCAATCCATACAAAATATAATATAAAATAAAATATGCTTTATACTTTCAATCAAATTAGGTTTATTACCTTTTCTTTCTTAAATATAAGAAATCTGAGGAATAAACTAATAATATTGAAGCCAAACGCCATACCTACTTTTGCACTTCACCTACTAATCATGACTTTTGAATCAAATGCAAATATATTTTGTGAAATTATTTGTAAAGCTCTCTCATCAAATATTAGTTTATTCTTAAAATTTTAAATTTTACATTCTAATTAAACTGAATAATTCAAGGTTAATTGATCTAATCGTTTGGAAGTTGAAATGAATCTTCTTTTTACTGTATGACCTAATTACAATGTAATTTATTTTTACTGTATGAGATAATTACAATGTAATTTATTTTCTCTTTTTCTTATCTTGAAAAAGGTATATTTTGTATGGTATCAGACAAACAC